GGTGTGACCTGTCCTACAGCAGAGCCTATAGGGGCTGTGAGCTCAGGGTGTGACCTGTCCTACAGCAGAGCCTATAGGGGCTGTTATCCCGGGTGTGTCCTGCCCTATAGCAGACCCTACAGGGGCTGTTTTCCCACGTGTGTCCTGCCCTACAGCAGACCCTACAGGGGCTGGGCCTGACAGGAGCCTCCTTCTGGGGCCACCGTGCCCTGTAGAGACTCTACAGGTGCCACCTTGTCCCTGTCCTTGCCCCTATAGTTGCCCCCACAGGGGTCTTCTCGCCCTATAGGGACCCCTCAGGTGAGCTCTCCCTGGACCCTACAGCCCCTGCAGGCCCCGCCGTTACCTGTCCCTTCCAGGCACTGTCATTCCATACGGGACCCGCCTTTCCCTGTGGGAATTGTCCCCGCGGGTGCTCCCGCTTTTGGGGAGGGGCCTCGCCCAGGTCCCCTACACCTCCCTCTATAGGGGACCCGCCGCTGCTTCTCCTCGGACGCGGATCCCAGGAGGGAGGGAAGAGCCTTTGGGACCTGGCAGGAGCCCTCCTGGAATTCTGGGACCCCCCTGGAATTCCAGTCCAACCCCCCCCCGAAAGCCGCAGCTTTGCCGTGCGGAGCTGCCCTACTTTGCCGGGCTCCCGGGGCCGTATTTTTAGCAGCTCCTTTAAATAAGATGGAAAAATCCAGGGCTTTGGGTGCCGTCCTGATCCATCGGGATCCTTTGGGTGCCCGGATCCCACCCCCCCCCCCCCGGGAACTCGCTCGCGTGTCCCCGTCCTTGTCCTTCGCCACCGGCTTTTGTTCGGGAGGGTGTTTGTGGTTTGCTCTCCCCTCCCACCGCCCCGACCGGTCGAACCGGTTTTTTTGGGGAGCTGCGTTTCCATCTCCTGATAAAGGGTTCGCCAGCGCAGCCCCTCGCCCGCCGCGGGGCTCCCACGGGACCTCCTTCCAGCACCTTTTTGGGGTGGGAGCAGCGTCGCCCCGGGGCGGGATTTGGGGTGAAAGCAGATCCCCGCGGCCCCGGGGAGCTGCGGCTGCTCCCCGTTATCCCCCCCGGGGCCGTTCCCGGCTCCCGTTCCCGGCTCCAAAAGAAACTCCGGTTTCAAAAGGCTCGGAAAGTGTAAATCGATCGCGTGGGTGCCGCGGAGAACCCGAGACCTGCGCCGGGAGGGGCGGTTCGGTGACGGCTCTGACCCCCTGAAGGACGGGACGAGGCTTTTGTTTTCCCTGGGAGCGGCAGGAACGGGATTTTCCAGTCTCCGGGTTGATGATTAACCCGAGGGCTCTGCCCGCGGCCCGGCGGGATGCGGAGGAATTCGGCTCTTATCGGTTCAGAGGGAGCCCCGGGGGACATGGCCTTGTCCCGGCTGGATGTCCCTCTCCCAACCCTTATCCCATCT